TGGGTCAAATAAAATTATGTAAAACAAGCACTATTCAGGAAAAAACACATAAATTCGTCTTCCTGAACATTTTACATGGGAACCGGTACTATCCAGAGCCTAGTGTGCAGGTTCTTGCTCAGTTCAGTCTTTAGGCAGCCCTGCAGAACAAGAGCAACGAGGAGAAATGCAATGTAGGGGGAAGGAAGGTAGGTAGAATTCAGAAGAGTCTTCTTAACTATAAGGAATTTGAAATATGCAAAGGTTGTAACATAAGAACATTTTGAATCTTCATCTATGGAGAAGAAGCAGGCACCCCCTCAGCAGTGTGACCAGGAGATATGAAAGATATGGCCAGGTCACCTCCCAGGGGTAGGTAGGTTCTGTTTTCTAGCAGGAAACGCCTGGCTAGTGTAGGGTTCTATTGTGATGGCTCCTCCGTGGTAGCATTCCACAAGGTTTCCTCCTCTCAGCACTCCCCACTTTTTGTACCAAAGACTGCAAATGCCAGTGTCTCCAGGAGCCAGGCAGATCGTATGAATGATTTAAGCAGCCTGGCAGGCATGTGGCAAACTGCAGAGCACATGTTCCATATGGCAGAGACATTTATTGCTTACTCAATATCCTTGAGCTGCCCCACATTTCTCAGGCCCCTGATGAGTGCCCTGGGACTAGTTTTGGCAAATAAACGGATAGTTCAAGTACCATTTTGCTTCGTGTTGGAAGTGTATAAGCACCAGAAAGCAGCCTTCCAGCTCTGGCTCCCCGATGGGGTCATGTAGAGTATAAGTTGGAAAAGCAGAGTCATAAAGAGTACACAGCCTGGATCCCCGAGTCATCGCAAGGAAGAAAACCACCCTGGAGAGCTGCCTCGTTCACCCTGGACTTTGCTTGGACAATAAACAAATCTTCATTGTGTTAAGTCCCTGACATTTTCTTACAGTGGCCTAGCCTACCCTGTGTGCTTTCTTTTTTTTTTTTTTTTTTTTTTTTTTTGAGACGGAGTTTCGCTCTTGTTACCCAGGCTGGAGTGCAATGGCACGATCTCGGCTCACCGCAACCTCCGCCTCCTGGGTTCAGGCAATTCTCCTGCCTCAGCCTCCTGAGTAGCTGGGATTATAGGCACGCGCCACCATGCCCAGCTAATTTTTTGTATTTTTAGTAGAGACGGGGTTTCACCATGTTGACCAGGATGGTCTTGATCTCTCGACCTCGTGATCCACCCGCCTCGGCCTCCCAAAGTGCTGGGATTACAGGCTTGAGCCACCGCGCCCGGCCCTGTGTGCTTTCTTTAAAGGTGACAGGCCTGGTACAGTAGCTCATGCCTGTAATCCCAGCACTTTGGGAGGCCGAGGTGGGCAGGTCACCTGAGGTCAGGAGTTCGAGACCAGTCTAGCCAACATGGTGAAACCATGTCTCTACTAAAAATACAAAAATTAGCTGGGCATGGTGGCAGGTGCCTGTAATCCCAGCTACTCGGGAGGCTGAGGCAGGAGAATCGCTTGAACCCGGGAGGCAGAGGTTGCTGTGAGCCAGGATCGCACCATTGTACTCCAGCCTGAGCAACAGAGCAAGACTCTGTCACCAGTCACAGTTCAATCCTGACTCTCACTGTCAAGTGAAATCGGCCCCAGCATTACCAGATATTCCAGTTTTTCAAGATAAACTAGATATACAGATTTTTTTGTGTGAAATATTCCAACATTTAAAAGTGGATAGTTAATTCAAAAAATTACAACTCTGTGTAGCCCAAATAAAGTGTACCTCGGGCCCCTTTAGCCCATGGGCCACCAGTTGCAACTGTGTTCTGCATTTTTTCTTAGTGACTCATCAGTTCCCGAAGCTTCTGTTGTCACTCCTGTTCAGATGGGCGCAAAGACCATATCTTTGTGTCACAGCTCCTGATGAGCTCCTGGTGAGCTCAGTGGATGCCTTCAACCCTGTATTTCCTGTATTTCTAGCTTTAGCTTAAATGCTGGAGTGGAGCCCCAGCATATTCTTTTTTTCTTTTTTTTTTTTTTTGAGACGGAGTCTCGTTCTGTCATACAGGCTGGAGTGCAGTGGTGAGATCTCATTGCGACCTCTGCCCCCTGGGTTCGAGCGATTCTCCTGCCTCAGCCTCACCCAAGCAGCAGGCATTATAGGTGCATGCCACCACGCCTGGCTAATTTTTATATTTTTAGTAGAAACAGGGTTTTGCCATGTTGACCAGGCTGCTCCTGAACTCATGACCTTAGGTAATCTGCATGCCTCGGCCTCCCAAAGTACTGGGATTACAGGCATGAGCCACCTTGCCTGGCCTCAGAATGTTTTTTAGGCTCTCAGTCCTACCTGCCTCCAGCAGCCAGCGTAAGTGCACACTGTTAGGGGCCTAATGGTTCTTTCTTTCTTTTCTTCTTTCTTTCTTTCTTCTTCTTCTTTCTTTTTCTTTTTTTTAAAAGAGATGGGGTTGCTATGTTCAGGCTGGAGCTTTTGGGCTCAAGCAATCTGCTAGCCTCAGCCCTCCAAGTAGCTGGAACCATAGGCATGTGCCACCGTGCTCTGCCCTAGTGATTCTTTCTCATGGCTTGACTCTTACCTCCTTTTCTTCATACATTTCTTATTGGACATTGACATTTCTTTATTAGCTTCTGACCCAGTAATTTACTTTCCCATTTATGGCCTAACATTTCTCTTTGGACCTGACACTCAGTCTTGCTCTTCTGATTAAAAATTTTTTTCCTCAGTTTTTTACTCTTCGGAGATTTGGATTCTGCCTTCCACTGCCCTGTGAGTTTGTCCTGGACTAGTCCTGAATTTTTCAGTTCGTCTCTTAGAGACATCTAAGATGTCTAAGCCTTCTACTTGGGAGGCTGAGGCAGGAGAATAGCTTGAACCCGGGAGGCAGAGATTGCAGTGAGCCGAGATTGTGCCACTGCATTCCAGCCCAGTGACAGAGTGAGACTCCGTCCAAAAAAACCAAAAACGAAACAAAAAAAAAAAAAACAAAAAAAGCAAAAAGTAGAGTTTATGTTTTTTACTTTTTGAATTTGGCATTGCCTTGTGACTTGCTTTGGCTAACAAATGTGTCAGAAGTGACAATATGTGACTTCTGGAGCCTAGACTGTGGAAAATCTCGTGGCTTCCACTTTCACTCTCTTGGGACCTGCTGATGCCAGGCCAGGAGCCAAGGCTATTCTGCTGGAGAGCCACATGCAGGAGAACTGAGGCCCTTTGGCTGACAATCCCAGGTAACTGCCAGATATGTGAGTGAGGCCATCGTAAACCGTCCTGTCCATATGAGTGCAGCCACTCAAGCAACTCAAAGTGAGATGAACAGAACTGCTTAGCTGAGTCCAGCAAAAATTGCAGAGTTGTGAGCAAATTATTGCTTTAAGCCTCTAACTCTTGGGATGGTTTGTTATGTAGTAATTGCTAAACTGATGCAGTGCTGCCTGTGCAGTCACAGAATGTCAGCTAGAGGCAGAAGACAAGTGTATGTTCTTTGGAGAAAGAGGCTGTCTACTATGATTGAATTTTCTGGCTCAGCTGTCCTGCATCTCAACAGGGTTGGGAGCCCTGTGCTGCTCCCTGAAGGAAGTGTCACTAGTTGGGTATGTGACTTAGCCTCAAACATTCTAGGTGCCTGTGCAGCCAATTTGATGGGCTTATTATCTGTTCTGGGCTTGGAGCTTATAGAGAAATGGAAGCCAACTGTCTTCCAAAGAAGAGAGAAAGAATGGCCGGGTGCAGTGGCTCATGCCTGTAATCCCAGCACTTTGGAAGCTGAGGCAGGTGGATCACCCGAGGTCAGGAGTTTGAGACCAGTCTGGCCAACTTGGTGAAATCCTGTCTCTACTTTTTTTTAAAATGTATTTTTTTTCTTTTCTTTTCTTTTTTTTTTTTTTTTTTTGAGACGGAGTTTCGCTCTTGTTACCCAGGCTGGAGTGCAATGGCGCGATCTCGGCTCACCGCAACCTCCGCCTCCTGGGTTCAGGCAATTCTCCTGCCTCAGCCTCCTGAGTAGCTGGGATTACAGGCACGCACCACCATGCCCAGCTAATTTTTTGTATTTTTAGTAGAGACGGGGTTTCACCATGTTGACCAGGTTGGTCTCGATCTCTCGACCTTGTGATCCACCCGCCTCAGCCTCCCAAAGTGCTGGGATTACAGGCTTGAGCCACCGCGCCCGGTTTAAAATGTATTTTAAAAATTATTATTTTATCTTTAATTTTTATTATTTATTATTTTTTAAAGACAGGGTTTCACCATGTTGGCCAGGCTGGTCTTGAACTCCCGACCTCAGGTGATCTGCCCGCCTCGGCCTCCCAAAGTGCTGAGATTACAGGCGTGAGCTACCATGCTCGGCCCTGCCTCTACTTAAAATACAAAATTAGCCGAGCGTGGTGGCATATGCCTGTAATCACAGCCACTTGGAAGACTGAGGCAGGAGAATTGCTTGAACCTGGGAGGCGAGGTTGCAGTAAGCTGAGATCACACCATTGCACTCCGGCCTCAGCAACAAGAGCAAAACTCTGTCTCAAAGAAAAAAAAAAAAATAAAAGAGAGAGAGAGAGAAAGTTGGGCATAGTGTTTCATGCCTGTATTCCTGGTGCTTTGGGCAGAGGAGTGGGGTGGGGTCCAAAGCAGGAGGATGGTTTGAACTCAGAAATTTGAGACCAGCTTGGGCAACATAGTGAGACCCCAATCTCTACAGAAACCAGCCAACAAACAAAAACAAATTAGCTCGGCATGGTGGCATGTGCCTGCGGTCCCAGTGCTTTGGGAGGCCCAGCGGGGATCATCCCTTGAGCCCAGGAGTTTGAGACCAGCCTGGGAAATATGGCAAGACCCCATGTCTACAAAAAGTAAAAAATTAGTTTGGTGTGGTGGTGCATGCATGTAGTCCCAACTACTCAGGAGGCTGAGGTGGAAGGATCACTTGAGCCTGGGATGTCAAGGCTGCAGTGAGTGGTGATTGTGTCACTGCTCTCCAGCCTGGGTGACAGAGCAAGACTTTTCCTCAAAAATAAAATAAAATAGTGCTCGCCTCTACAGCACATATACTAAAATTGGAATGGTACAGAGATTAGCGTGGCCCCTGCGCAATGATGACACACAGATTTGTGAAGCGCTCCATATTTGAAATAATAAAATAAAATAAATTATAAAATAAAATAAAACTCATTATGGACTAAACATCCCATTCTTGCCTAACTCAGGGTGGATTTCTCTTACCCTCCTACCTTTGTTATGCTCCTGCCCTCCTTACAAAGAAAGCCCTTGATAAAGAGCAAATGGAATAATATTTTCAAATTCACATACTGTCAGGGTTCAGGTAGGAAAGTGTGCAAAGTGGTGTAGGTCACTGGGAGTGGTGCAAACTGTGGAAGGCTGAGGAGTGCACACCCTGGCTAGAGGTGTTCACATCTGATTTTTATCCATGGAGTGAACTGACAGTTTGTGATACTCACAGCAAATAAGTAATTCAAACTTGGGTCTGGTCTGATTTCAAAGCTTTTTCTTTTTCTTTCTTTCTTTCTTTCTTTTTTTTTTTTTTTGAGACAGAGTTTCGCTCTTGTTGCCCAGGCTGGAGTGCAATGGCGCGATCTCGGCTCACCGCAACCTCCGCCTCCTGGGTTCAGGCAATTGTCCTGCCTCAGCCTCCCGAGTAGCTGGGATTACAGGCACGCGCCACCATGCCCAGCTAATTTTTTTTGTATTTTTAGTAGAGACGGGGTTTCACCATGTTGATCAGGATGGTCTCGATCTCTTGACCTCGTGATCCACCCGCCTCAGCCTCCCAAAGTACTGGGATTACAGGCTTGAGCCACCGCACCCGGCTTCAAAGCTTTTTCTACTATGTCATTTGGCCTCGTCCTAAACCCCAGTTTCCTTTTTCTTTTTCTTTTTTTGAGATGGAGTCTCACTCTGTTGCCCAGGCTAAAGTGCAATGGTGCAATCACGGCTCACTACAACCTCCGGCTCCGGGGTTCAAGCAATTCTCCTGCCTCAGGCTCTGGAGAAGCTGGGATTACAGGTGCCCACCACCATGCCTGGCTAAGTTTTGTATTTTTTTAGTAGAGCCATGTTACCCAGGCTGGTCTCAAACTCCTGATCTCAGGTGATCCGCCCGCCTCAGCCTCCTAAAGTGATGGGATTACAGGTGTGAGCCACTGTACCCAGTAGTTTCCTTTTTCATGACATGGGACTGCTTATACTTACCTATCTTGGAAAGCTTAGGGATCATTTATTTCAAATTCTTAGCACAGTACATGGCACACAGTAAGCACTCGAAGAGTGGTAGCTCTGTATAAAATAGTTAATAAACTACAAAGCATTGTAAAAATATTAGGTATTATTATAAAGACATAAACACCAGGGTAAAAATATCATTCATTTCTGAAGGAATACATTGATGGATACTAACTTAGATGTTAGGTAAGAAGAGAGTAAGGGGCTGGGCACTGTGGCTCAAGCCTACAATCCCAGCACTGTGAGAGGCAGAGGCAGGACAATCACCCAAGGCCAAGAGTTTGAGATTAGTCTGGGCAACATAGCTAGACCCTTTCTCAAAAAAAAAAAAAAAAAAAAAAAGTCAGCGAGACCTTGTCTCTATAAAAAAGTAAAGTAAAACATAAAATTATAGAAGAAAAAAAGAGTAAGGACCTTGCGAGTCCCGGAGAAGTTGAGAGCTGAGGTGAGTGGGATTTACATAAGTATCCACTGTGCTGATCGGGGTGGGGGGGAGAGGGGCACTGGGCAGTTACTACCAGGTCCTCACAGTTTAATGAACTAAGCATGCCATTTATGGGAACATTCACAATACAAAATTACTTTTCAAATGACTAGAGGGATGCTTGTTGCAGTTCAGTTTATGATAGCAGAAAACTAAAAACAAAGTAGAAATCCCAAACTAGGGGACTGGATAAAGAAAATTTTTTCGAGACAGAGTTTCACTCATGTCACCCAGACTGGAGTGCAGTGGCGTGATCTTGGCTCACTGCAACTTCTCCCTCCTGAGTTCAAGTGATTCTCCCGCCTCAGCCTCCCAAGTAACAGGGATTACAGGCACCCACCACCACATCCAGCTAATTTTTTTGCATTGTTAGTAAAGATGGGGTTTCACTGTGTAGACCAGGCTGGCCTTGAACTCTTGATGTCAAGTGATCCACCTGCCTCAGCCTCCCAAAGTGCTGGGATTACAGGCCTGAGCCACTGCACCTGGCATGGTTAAAGAAATTATGCTGAGCCGGGCGCGGTGGCTCAAGCCTGTAATCCCAGCACTTTGGGAGGCCGAGGCGGGTGGATCACGAGGTCAAGAGATCGAGACCATCTTGGTCAACAAGGTGAAACCCCGTCTCTACTAAAAACACAAAAAATTAGCTGGGCATGGTGATGCGTGCCTGTAATCCCAGCTACTCAGGAGGCTGAGACAGGAGAATTGCCTGAACCCAGGAGGCAGAGGTTGCGGTGAGCCAAGATCGTGCCATTGCACTCCAGCCTGGGTAACAAGAGTGAAACTCCATCTCAAAAAAAAAAAAAAAAAAAAAAAAAAAAAGAAATTATGCTATATCCAGGCTGGGCGCAGTGACTCACACCTGTAATCCCAGTACTTTGAGAGGCAGAAGGATCACGAGGTCAAGAGGTCAAGACCATCCTGGCCAGTATGGTAAAACTCTGTCTCTACTAAAAATACAAAAATTAGTTGGGCATGATGTTGCGCACCTGTAGTACCAGCTACTCAGAAGGCCAAGGCATGAGAATCGCTTGAACCCAGGAGGTGGAGGTTGCAGTGAGTTGAGATCATACCACTGCACTCCAGCCTGGTGACAGAGCGAGACTAACTAAAAAAAAAAAAAAAAAAAAAAAAAAGGAAGAAAGAAAGAAATATAAATTCATTGAGGGGACACTATTAAATCCTTGAAAATAGTATTATTAGAATCTGTGTAAGATGAGTACTTATTTATTTCGAGATGGAGTTTCACTCTTATTGCCTAGGTTGGAGAGCAATAGTATGATCTTGGCTCACTGCAGCCTCTGCCTCCTGGGTTCAAGTGATTCTCCTGCCTCAGCCTCCCAAGTAGCTGGGATTACAGGCATGTGCCACCATGTCTGGCTAATTTTGTATTTTTAGTAGAGTTGGAAGTTCTCCATGTTAGTCAGGCTGGTCTCGAACTCCTGACCTCAGGTGATCCGCCTGCCTCGACCTTCCAAAGTGCTGGGATTACAGGTTTGAACCATGCACCTGGCTGTAAGATGAGTATTTGCTGACAGGAAAAAATGTTCCCATTATATATGTTATATGTGACTAGGAGAATGTAAAACAGTGAACACAAGTCAATTCACTTTTGTGAAATGAAAAAAAAAAAACCCATTACCCTGGTGGGTGAGCCTCAGGCTGGGAAAAAAAAAAAAAAAAGTCATGTGTTAAAAGATATTGAAGGATACATATCAAGATATTAACAATAGTTTTCCCTAGGTAGTAGTATTCTTATGGTTTTAAAGTTTTCTTATTTTTGCCAATCTATGTTTTCTAATTTTTTTTTTTTTTTTTTTTAGATAGAGTCTTGCTCTGTCGCCCAGGCTGGAGTGCAGTGGCACGATCTCAGCTCAGTGCAAACTCCACCTCCCAGTTCAAGCAATTCTCGTGTCTCAGGCTCCCTAGTAGCTGGGACTACCGGTGCAGGCCACCAAGCCCAACTAATTTTTGCATTTTTAGTAGAGATAAGGTTTTACCATATTGGTCAGGCTAGTCTCAAACTCCTGACCTCAGGCGATCCACTTGCCTCAGCCTCCGAAAGTGCTGGGATTAGAGGTGTGTGCCACTGAGCCTGGCCTGTTTTCTGATTTTCTTTCTGTCTTTCTTTTTTTGAGAGAGTCTTGCTCTGTTGCCCAGGCTGGAGTGCAGTGTGATCTCAGCTCACTGCAACCTCTGCCTCCCAGGTTCAAGTGATTCTCCGCCTCAGCCTCCCAAGTAGCTGGGATTATAGGCACCCACCACCACGCCAGGCTAATTTTTTGTATTTTTAGTAGAGACAGGGTTTCACCATATTGGCTAGGATGGTTTTGAACTCCTGACCCCGTGATCCACCTGCCTCAGCCTCCCAAAGTGCTAGGATTACAGGCCTGAGCTGCCGTGCCTGGCCTCTAATTTTCTACTATAAATATGACTGCTTTCGTAATAAGGAAAAATGAAAACATTTATTTTTTAAAGTGTGGTGAGGATCAGAAAGGCAGAGATCAAAGACTGTGTAAATAGGACTGAACCAATCCGGAGAAACGTTGTGTAGGAAGCAGCGTGAAGGAGGATGAGGGGTGTCAGGGCAAGGGCAAATAGGGAAGGACCAGGAAACCCAGGGGGACACATGCCTGACATTCACAGGGCCAGTTCCTTGACTCCTGCACCATGGTCACTGCCATTCTGTCTGCACCTCTAGCATGGTCCTCCAGAACGAACTGCAGGCTTGGATGAGGCTCCGGAGAGCACCTACATCCATCGTTTAAGCTCCAAGAGGCTCTGATTCCGTGAACTTTGCCAATGAGAAGGTTGAAAAATTGGAGGTGAGTGTGGATGGAGCAGCTGGCTATTAGCAAGTTTGGCCAAATGGTGGTGCTATAAGCCAGAAAATCAAAGCACAGTCTAGCAGCCAGGGTTAGCCTGGAACAATGGTCTCTGCACCTAGAAGGCCACCAGGGGGCAGAGGGAGGTAATACTGCTTTTCTCAGGGCAGCTGGAGTCACCAGTCAACAATGTGCCGGACACAGTGGTTTGGGAGGTCGAGGCTTGAGGTCAGGAGCTCAAGACCAGCCTGGACAACATGGTGAAACCCTGTCTCTACTAAAAATACAAGAAATTAGCCGGGCGTGGTGGTGTGAACGGAGAATCTCTTGAACCCGGGAGGCAAAGGTTACAGTGAGCTGAGATCATGCCATTGCATTTCAGCCTGGGTGATAGAGTGAGACTCTATCTCAGAAAAACAAACAAACAAAAAAGGCATCAGCGTCATTCAATAAAACCGATGGCTAGCTATAATGATGCAGTGCCAGAAATAAAACAGAATAACTCAAACAGGTGCAGGTCTTGCTATTGAACGCTTAAAGGGATAGGATTCATTACAGAATGCTTCAAGGGATAGTTTAAGG